TTCATTTTCTCAGTAAAACTTGCAGCATATTCATTTACGCTCATCTTGCCCTTCTTTAGGTTCTCGAACCCATTATTAATCTCTAGAAGATCTTACTCAGAATAGTACTGAATTTTCAATTGCATAAGAAAGTCTTCATAAGAAATCTTTCTAGCTTCTCCCTTGGGCATAGTATCGGCCAATAACTTCCACCAGCTTAATACTCCACTTATCAACTATCTGACCCCGAGAATGGTCTTCTACTTGTTGCTATAGTCGCAACTCTCAAACACCATTTCCATCTCGAAGATCCAATCCATGAGTTCCAACAGTTTTGTGCTTCCATAAAGACTCGGTGGCTTGGATGCCATGAAATCTTTGTACTTGCATCCATGTCCATCATTTCCTCCATCGAGTTGGTCTCTTCAAACCACACGTGGCTGATGTTGACTGACAGTACAACTGTAGTTTCCTTCCTCTGACTGTTCTATGTTCAGATCAGGTTGTACAACAGGTGCAGTAGGTTCATCCTTATTCTATTGAAGTAAACACCTTGTCTCTTCCATCTGACGATCCAACATTGCTTGTACCATTGCCAACTTGATAGGTTCAGGTGCAGCTTCTACCTCTGGTGTATTTACAATCACTCGTAGCTCAGGCTGTAAATTTCCATTAGCATTTCCTAATATGTTGCGTGTTCTCCCCATGATGTTCTATACACCGAAGAAGAAGTCCAGTGTACCAAGACAAGAAGTTAATATAATGAAAGTTTTATTCGACGTATAATCCTCCTTATTCCTCCGAAATATTATGTGACAGTTCTAATATTGTACTTTAACGTTTAGAATCCTGAATACACAAATTTTCAAAATCTAGGTTGGCAACAAACCATCAATTTATTCAAATAATAACATCCTAGGTAGGAAAACCTAACGCATCTCAAGGCATCTTATCGCTATAACATGCTTTAACATAAATAATTTAGCACATAAAAGCAACTTAGGCATTATTCCTAAAATAAGCTAGTGCATGTGTCATTTTAGGCATACTACCTTAATATACACTCATCTTATAATCATCACTTAGCATTCTATGTTTAAGTTTAGAAATCCTCAAATATTCCTAGTTCTCTTAAACTAATGCTTTGATACCAAATACCAACTGTGACATCCCCATTTTCATGGCCAGAAAACGCCGATTTAAATATGCTTATTTCAATTCAGAGTATTCCTTTTACAGAATTATAATGAGGAATTTGTTCCCAATAATGTGATAATAATATTACCAAGCATTTCCAAAGAAATGCGTTTCAATAACATTAGAACCATGAGATTTCATTGTCAATACAGAAACATAAGCATAACGAAAATATTACATGTCTTATAACATCTTATTATACTATGGCCAACAAATTCCTTAAATCACTCAACATCCTTGGGTCTTTGTACCGCTACTTGTGATACAAAAAACTGAGTTGATTAGGCTTGGGGTCCTGGTGAGCAGATAGGATTTATAACCCACAATAATTAATTTATTTATATATTTCACATCAATTAATTTTCCCGATTACCCATTCATATTATTCTCACATACTGATCCTAAAATACTGATCTTATGGGACACATCCTAAGGATCATCATCAACAATAGGTAGACAATATTGCTTGGGGGATACCTTTAGCAATAAATGTCAATCAGGCAACCACGAATTTTACGTGGCAGTTCTAATATCGTACTTTAACGTTTAGAATCCTAAACAGACAAAATTTCAAAAATCTAGGTTGGCAACAGACCATCGATTTATTCAAATATTAACATCCTAGGTAGGCAACCTAAAGCATCTCAAGGAATCTTATCGCTATAGCATGCTTTAACATAAATAATTTAGCACATAGAAACAACTTAGGTATCATTCCTAAAATAAGCTAGTGCATGTGTCATTTCAGGCAAACTACCTAAACTATACACTCATTTTATAATCATCACTTAGCAATCTAAGTTTAAGTTTAGAAATCCTTAAATATTCCTAGTTCGCTTAAACTAATGCTTTGATACCAACTACCAACTGTGACATCCTCATTTTCATGGCCAGAAAAGACCGATTTAATTATGCTTATTTCAATTCAGAGTATTCATTTTAAAGAATTATGATGAGGAATTTGTTCCCAATAATGTGATAATAATATTACCAAGCATTTCCAAAGAAATGCGTTTCAATAACATTAGAATCATGGGATTTCATTGTCAATACAGAAACATAAGCATAACGAAAATATTACATGTCTTACAACATCTTATTATACTATGGCCTACAAACTCCTTAAATCACTCAACATCCTTGGGCCTTTGTACCGCTACCTATGATACAAAGAAACTGAGTGGGTTAGGCTTGGGGTCGTGGTGAGCACATAGAATTTATAACCCATAATAGTTAAATTCTTTATATATTTCACATAAATTAATTTTCCCAATTACCCATTCATTTTATTCTCACATACTGATCCTAAAATACTGATCTTATAGGACATATCCTAAGGATCATCATCAACAGTAGGCAGACAATATTGCTTGGGGGGGTTCCTTTAGCAATAAATGTCAATAAGGAAACCATGGGGGATAGACTACATCAATGAACATATGGTTCACTAACGCCTACAGGTTGCGAGCCTTCTAGTGTTCCTCTAGACTGTCTAGAATAGTTTGTGTTCGTCAGCTATACTCTGTCAGATGACTGGTTCATCAAAAGTCAAGTCCTCTCATCCTCATATCATCATTTTATCACCCATTACTACCCAACATTTTTATATAAATATATAAGAAAATACATATATGATTAACCAAATGAAATCATATAATTTATCTAACTCAGATATCAAGTAATTTAGATAATAGGCACACACAATATTTAATCATCTAGATACTTCATATCTATTTGTAAGCTGAAAGTAACTATGTACTCACTTGTTATAGTGGATGACTGGAAAGTTGGACAGCGTTTCGCTTTAGCACTTGGCTTTTCCTTTGATGTGACCTAGATTCAATTATCACTAAGTCTTAGTTTATTGTTTTCTTACGACTAATGAATAGTGTAGATTCCTCAAAAATCCTAATGTGTATTGATCTATAACTGATAAGAGACAACCAGGTAGGATCATATCTGATGTAAGGTCCGTTCGGTATACAGAGTATACTGTTTGGAAATCCACCTTTAAACACCTCACTAAATCCAGCCTAGACATCATATTCGTAAGTAGACCAATCAGTAATATAACATTGGAACCACTAAAAAATCGTATTTATAAATTCATAACAAAGACTATGAATTTAAATATAAATCACACTAAAATAAAATAGAGTGTAATTTAACTTATAGAGATTCTCTAGACAAAAGTCTGGAAATTTCATTGACAGAGTTGCTACTCGATGGCTACTACTAGTAGGGCACTCAAGGGTCGCAGGGCTTCGCCAGTATACTAGAAACTAAGGTAAAATGGCTATACGCCGAAGAATATCGACAGAGAAGGCATGTAGTGTGAGATACGAGAAGCTTATTTGGAGGCGAGAATATATAGTTCGAAAAAGCAATGCGCGTCGCGCACGATGTCGGTGCGCTCCATGCACGACTTCGACTCTCATTAAGGTTATTCGTCCTAATTATTATTCTGTTTAAGAAGCGTATTTTATTTGTTATTTTATTATATCGTTTTAAGCACGTATGCTACATACAACTACACATAGAACACATAACACTCCATTATGCTCTTATTTACTTCATATAAAGGTTACAATTGTTGATCATTATAATTACATCATTTTATTAGTGCATAGCAGGAAACATTGGCATTACACAAAACCCTCTAATAGACCGACGCAATGGAGGAACGTAATATTCATATGTGAATATAAAGGTAAGTATATTGTTGCATATTTCAAATATGCCGCTTAAGCACTCCATTATGTACTGGGTAGACGAAACATATACTATATATATATATATATATATATATATATATATATATATATATATATATATATATATATATATATATATATCAAGGTTGTGAAAATCATTCGACGGTCGACTGGGGTTAAGAGATTAATCGGTCTTGGTGGGGATTAATCGGCACTAATCAGGATTATAGGTTATTAATAAAATATTAAAATTAATCAAAGATTAATATATCTTAAGAAAAACAAGTAATTCAAAATTAGAAGATAAGAAAATTTGTAATTTGAAATTTTGAAAATAAGAAAATATGAACGTTTTGGTATAATATTTGAAAATTTGAAAATTTGAAAATTTTAGAGTAAAAAAAATTGTTGATTTTTTGAATTTTATTTTGACTTCTTTTTTTTTTACTTTTGTTGACTTTTGTTGACCGATTAATCCCGCGAAAACCGATTAATCCCGCCAAACCCAATTAATCACTAATTTCCGTCAAACACCCCTAATCCTAGTCTGTTGGAGAATGTCAAGCGATTAATGCACGATTAATCCATATTTCTGCAACCTTGACATATATATATATATATATATATATATATATATATATATATATATATATATATATATATATATATATATATATATATCATTTTATCCAAGTCGTTTTGTATTTTAATTCAAATAATTGCGAGTATAAAATTCATAGTTGGCTTTGGATATGTCTTCATTTATAATTGCCTTGTATACGTACATATATTTTAGTGCATGTAAAATTAATGAACAACTATTGGAATCAGCCGACAAAAGACTCCATGGATGCCACTAAGAGAGGCGACCAGTCTTCGAATCCCCACTCATTGTTCCATATCTCTATCCACATACATAGACACAATAGAGACTCAGAATCCACATTTTCTATTTTGTGGTTGCATAAGTATGAGCAAGACTCAACCTTATATAACACGAATACCTTATAAAATTCGACACAAACCCTCCTTTTTCTTGCATAAATAAAGAAGGGTTTTTTATAGGACTTCATGATCTCTTGCACGTAACTCATCTGCTGTTCTTTAGTCATGAGTTTCCTCAATCTAAACCTACCCGAAAACGATATCTCCTCTTCTTCATCTTCTTCATCCATTCTAAACACCTCTCACCAGCGAGTTTTCGCCTGCCATTACTGCAGAAGAAAATTCTACAGCTCACAAGCCCTTGGAGGCCACCAAAATGCTCATAGAATCGAAAGGAACTTAGCAAAGAAGAGTCGTACTGAATTAACCTCAGCTGTAATACCTCGTGCTGGGTACACCCAGCCCACATCAAGGTCTGGTTCTAGTGTCCTAAACAGTAGGGATGTCCAGCCACCAGTCATGATGGGGCTCAACCATCAAGCAGAAAATGTTGGATGGTTCAGTGCTAGTGAAATGGGTAGAGGAGTTGACTATAGTTACAAAAGTGAAAGTGTTGAAGAAGACTTTAATCAGCTCGACTTGTCTCTCAGACTTTGAGCTGCCTAGCTTTTAGTACTACGTTTCAGATTATTAACTCGTCATTTTAACCTGACTTGTATCCTCAATGCATTTTCGTAAAAGTTCTTGTAAGTGATTGGGACTTTCTTAATATGAGCACTAAGTTTGAATCTTATAGTATTTATTTCTAATTTATAGTAAGCGTTAGTACTGATAACAAATATTTTCCATAAACTACACGTTCTTATTGTCCACAATATATATAAGGATTACAACAATATGGGCTATACACGTAAAGTCTAAGATATAAACATGGGACGAAAATTACAGATGAATATAAACATACTAACATCCTCCGTCCCAGTTGAAATGGAGGGAAGATCGAAAATTTAAATTGGCTCGAGATTTATGAAACAAACATGTGGGTAATATTGAAGTTCTGAAACCCTTTTATTGGATGTCAATGTGTTGCTTCTGGAATGAACATGTTATACTTGCAGTTGAATGTTCGACACTAATAGTATCTTTTTATGCAACCTTTTTTCATTGTTGATATATCTTTATTTTTTTACTAGGTATGATACCCGTATACTATACGTGTTTATTAAAAATAAAAATTTAATATCAATATTTGAACATTAAATATTTTATAAAATAACACTTTTTCATAACATAATGTAATCTTTTGGAACATTTATAAAAGAAATCAAATATTTTTTAGAGCATTTATGAGACTTAATTATCAAATTAATAGAATGATTTTCTTTCCTTATAAAACTTATTAGAATTTTGTGGAATTTTATTTTAAAAAATGTAAACTCCTAAAAAAATAAAAGTGGAAAATAATAATTCTAAAACTCTCACAAAATTACATGTGACAAAACTCTTAACAATTTGACAAGTGGCAAATAAACTTTCATTTATTAGAAAGGATGAAGAGTTCTAATAGCATGACATTTGTCAATAGAATAATAAACTTATTCATTTATTAGATTAGTAAGATGTGTAGATTCCAAAAATAACATTTATTAAGTAGTTATCATTTGTTTATAACACCTTATATTTATTTATAAATGTTATATATATATATATATATATATATATATATATATATATATATATATATATATAGATATATATATATATATATATATCAGTGTTGTAAATATCGGCCTAGACGCTTGGCGGTCTGCAACTGATTACGATTATGGGTGTTTGGCGGAAATTGGTCAATATCGGTCAAACTCGGGCCTCGGCGGTCCTTGGCGGGAAGATTTTAAAAAATTCAAATTTTCAAAATTTCAAATATTACACCAAAATTTACAAAACTTCAAAATTTTAAATTTTTAAATATTCAAATTTTCAAATATTATATCGAATATTTAAAAATTTAAAAATTTAAAAATTTTAAATTTTCAAATACTATTTTTTCTTAGGATATATATATTTTTTTGGAACGGAAAGAATTTTATTAAAAAACTAGCAAGAGGCTAGAAAAAGAACATTACAACAACTTACAAGCAGAGACACGATTATGAAGCCAATTAGTCCATTCTATATTAGCTTTGCTACACGTATTAAAAACCCAAAAATAAGAGTTTTTGGCCACGTCATCAAAAATAACTGATTTCATAGGCAACACCGTTCCAAAAAAAATGGAATTCCGAAAATTCCAAATGCACCATAATGTCGTCATAATCACCGCGTCAAAAACTTTTCGTTGACCACTTCTCCAAGAGAACGATTTAGACCAAAACAATAACGAATCTATGGAAAGGTGTTGAGGAACATGAACACCCCACCAGATAGCAACTCTAGTCCAAAGATCAATAAACTCACTACACCCAACAAACAAGTGATCAATAGACTCAATCGTAGCAGAGCAAACTGGACACAAGATTGAATCCAATAAAATTCCCCTATAAGAAAGATTTGCTCGAGTCGGAAGGCCATTTAATCTTAATCTCCAGATGAAAATATTCAACTTAATTGGAACCCAATTATTCCAATAAGTTTCGCCATCACCTGTAGACAACATCCCATTATCAATATCAGACCTAGCTGAAGAGACTGTAAAATGATCGGACGTATCCAAGAGCCACCCCAATCGATCCGGACTGGAATTAAGGTGTAAGCCCTGCAGCAAAGTCAAAAAAGCATCCCACTGGGACTGCTCAATACCACCCCGAGGCCTATCCCCTTTCCAAATATCCTGCCAAAACAAAAGTCCGACTACCATCTCCAACCCGAATTAGACTTAAAGAAAGCAAATCCAAACCGCGAACACCCATATGAGACAACATACGAATGACACCATTCCAAGGACCCATCCAACCTTTTTTGATAATTAAAGAACCACAACCTCCATCAGAACCATAGATAGCCTTTACTAACCGAACCCATATAAGATCAGGATTATGAAAGAAACGCCATCTCCATCTTAAAAGCATAGCCCTATTAAAAGAAAAAAGACTACCAACTCCTAGACCACCTTCTTTCCTACCAACCAGCATGAATCCAATGCATACACCTGTCATCCAACTCCGCACCCCAAAAAAATCTAAAACGTAACGCCTCCAAGGACTTAAGTACCGAAATGGGAACCAAAAAAATAGACATCAACTAACTTCCCAAACTCCCCAGGACAGACTTGATCAACGTTAGACGGCCACCAAAAGCGAGAGTTTTCACCTTCCACCCCGATAGCTTGGAACGAAAACGATTAACAATAGGAGACCAAGCTGTAACTCTGGACATACATTGACCTACTGGCACACCCAGATGAATAAAATGAAGATATTCTGGAGCACACCCTAACTTACGAGCCACCAACTCAACCTGAGGCTTAGAGACACAAACCCGAATCAACTTGCTTTTCAACATTTTCTTAGGATATATTAACTTTTAAAATAGTTTTATTAGTAATTTATGGTCCCCGATTAATCCTCCGATTAATCCCCGCCAAACCGATTAATCGCTTGACCCCAGTCGACCGCCGAACGATTTTTATAACCTTAATATATATATATATATAATATATATATAATATATATATATATATATATATATATATATAAGGATTATTTGAGTATCATTAAGACACTTTATAAGACATAACGGCATTTTTTTCAACAACTTAAAGATGAACTTTATTAAAAACACTAACAAGAAACTAGAGGAAAAGAAATTACAAAACATTACAAAGCAATGAGTTTTGTAATCACATTGTCCAATTGAGTCTACTTTTAGAATTTCTATTCAAAAACCAATCAAAAGAATACATTGCAATTTTTTTCAAAAATACTACTTCTTTTAATTTTGGGCGATTGAAATATTTGATTATTTCGATAAGTCCAAAGCATCCAGATAGCGGTCAATGTAATCACCTCCAAAACCTTCCTCTTTGCAACCGCCATATTCACTGTATATGTACGTGTCAACAACTCAGCAACAGTGATCAACATAGGTAAAGTAACATCAAGCCATATATTCCAATTCGAGACCAAATCTGGGCAGCAACCTCACAGAAAAGAAACACATGATTTGTATCTTCAACACATCGATCACAAGTCGGGCATAAAAAAGAATGAACCTCAATACATCTTCCTCTTAGATTCAACCTAGTGGGGATTTTATTTAAAAGGACACATCAAATCAAAACATTAACCTTTATAGGAGAATATCTATTCCATCGAGTTGGTATATTACCCAGGTGAGTAATAACCTCATCGATATGAATCCGAGCACTCTTGACCGTGAAACCGCCCTCAGTATAAAGATCTTAACTCCAAGAATCACTACCATTGCCGATATTAACATTTTCAAGTAAGCCATGCAACACCAATAACTGATCAGCTGTATGACCACCACTTATTTGTCTAATCCAAGGCCACTCCCAATTACCATCTTGACATCTGTCAGCAATAACACAATCTTTATTAACTTCCAAAGCATACAATCTAGGAAACTGGTCCATAAGCTTTGTATCTCCAATCCAAATATCCTTCCAAAATCGGGTCAAGAGACCATCACCAATCTTTTTTCGCATAAAAACTTAGGGTAAGATATGTTTGGTATTTACCTTATCAAACAAACACACTAAACTTGACCAAACTCCTCCTATTCTCGATTTTTCATCAAAACAACCCAAACACCCAAAAGGCCCATGCATACTTTTAATCACCTTAACCCATATGGCTCCATTAACCGCCACTTCCATTTTTGAAGCAACACTAGATTGAAAGCTTTCAAGCTCCCAATCCCCAATCCCCTTCTGTCCAAAGATGTCAGAGTTGTATCCCATTCAATCCAACGTATTTTCCTTTCCGTCTCATCCCCTTCCCAAAAGAATCGATCTCATAACATTTCAAAGGTATTACACACCGTATCTGGAACTTTAAAAAACGACATAAAGTAAATACTCAAACTCCCAAGCACCGATTTAATGACTGTCAACCGACCACCAATCGAAAGCATTTTAATTTTTCAATTTGCAAGTCTTTTTTTTTTAATTTTTCAACCACCATAGGCAACCCAAGGTACAAAAAAGGTAATTTTTCTACAGAGCAACCAGTACCAACCACGAGGTTTTCTAATTCAGCAATAGGCACTCCAATCCCAAAAAGATTAGACTTTTGTAAGTTAATTTTTAAACCAGACACCAGATAAAAGCAGTTTAGAATTCTAACCAAGTTAGTGATATTTTCCTCATCCCATTCTCCCACAAAAAGAATTCTAACCAAGTTAGTGATATTTTCCTCATCCAATTCTCCCAAAAAAGAGCATCATCTGCCTAAAAAAGATGAGACAAAACTAACCCATCTTCTCCAACTAGGGCACCACGAAAGAACCCACGCATGACCGCGTCTTCCATGGCAACATGTAACCCTTCCATAACTATGATAAATAAGAAATGAGATAAAGGGTCACCCTCTCGAAGACCTCTTTAGAGATTAAACTCCACATTAGGGCAACCATTAACCAACACCGAAGCGCGAGAAGAATTCAAACACACACTTATCCAACCAATCCACTTATTA